GCCAAGAATTTTGCACACACGAATACTGTCCACATTGAAATTCTGCGCATTGGCCGGTACAATTTGCACTGAAAATTTGCGGTGTTATTTTTTTCGAAAAGTAAACCAGGCCGGAAGAAACATCATTTTATACCGAGCTATAATTCCACTTATTTTTTTCATAGTGATCGGCCGCAAACCATGGTAACATACATTTCCTTTTTTCTTTGCAACATTATTAACTTTGTGTATTTTTGGTTCCCTTTCTTCCAGCACAAGTATCTGGCAAAGCTTTCGCCGTCCCGAAATGTTTTACGTAGAAGCTTAGCAGCAGCAGTACTCGTTTCAGACGTAGCCGTTCCTTGATCACTAGAAGGCTATAAATACTGCCAACGATGGTTACACATGAAAGAATTTCCGAAAAATCACATACCGCAAGCTTTGGCAACCAAATTTGTGATGAAATCAACGTTGGCATATTGCTTTGACATCACTGCTGATCGCAAATATTTCTGAACAGCTACCACATCGCGTAAATCCTCCGCTTTTCTGACGACCAATGAAGGAAGTATTGCCAGCGCTTTCTCTGCTGCTTGCTCATAACCATCCGCTATTTCCCGGGGATTCAGGCCCTGAAAAAAAGAAAATCCAAAAATTTGAAAAAAAAAACGTCAAATGAAAAGAATACTGCAGTCTTTTGCTACCAAACGTCCTCCCGATTGGCATATAACTTATTAACCCGACAGATCTAGGCAGAACGCTTCGACTCCCTTCCTTCATTAGCTAGATTCTGTAGTGCGTGTGTTGGGCTACAGCCTTGGAGGTCTCGTCTGCTGGCCCAGTGCACCAGCGCCCCCTCGGATCGTTGGCTGAGTCATCGATTCCTTGGTGATCAGTTCGAGCTAGGAAGGTCTGTGCCTTTCGTTGATCGTCGGGGCCACCAGCACAACACAACACATACCCCCTTTACCACAGAAATAGCGGCCTTATATAGTCCGCTCTGCGCCATTTCACATATTTTACCTAGGAGGGAGTCATGATGCAAAAAGTGATTTAAATAGGACAAAATGAAAAAGGCAAATAAATTAATGTGCGGTATTCACATAATTTTGCATGAATATGGGGGAAGGTTCAACTGTAGTAATGGTAAAAAATGTATACGACTTAATGGACCGAAACATTTCTTACCTAATTTATTACTTCTTTTTATATCTTCCCTTTTTTCCTCTTTTTTGACCTGTTCTATCATCCATTTCTCCATTTTGTAACAAAATTTTCACTTAACCTTAAATGGAGGAAGTGCGGACAAGGCAGTAGAAGGATCTGATAGAACCAGCCATTTCCAGGGCCGCCTATGGCCCCTTTTTCGAAACTTTTTCATACAACAATTAGAATATTTTATTAGAGTTATGAAAAAGGTTGTAACTAAATGGAAAGCAATAATTAAAATTAAAAAAAATTAGATTAAATATAAAATTAAAAAAAAGTTAAATTAAAAATAAAAAGTAATAATTAAAATTAAAAGTTGCGTGTGCATCTGGAGCGAGGTGTTGGTTGGTAGGTGCCCGGATACAGGTCAAAGGGACATGGTAAATGCGTCCAACAATAAAGTGGCTAAATTTATAAGCAAATGCAAAGTGATATGAGATTACCATGCTCAGCAATTCAGATGCGTGTTCGAGCAGCGAAGCAGCGAAAATCACCACAGTATTGGTACCATCACCGATCTGTTTCTCCTGCATTTGGCTTGCCATAACAAGCATTTTGGCTGCCGGATGTTGCACTTCCAGTTCGTTCAGAATTGTCCCCGCATCACTGGTCACAAACAGTTTCTCGATATGGTTGATTATCATTTTATTCATGCCTAAAAACAATGTTTTTAACGCAAAAAAAAAACACATAACACATCAAAAGCTTCAGTTGGCAAGAAGCCAATTTATAATGGTTTGCTCAAAATTGGCAAGGTATATTGCTGTGGTTAAATGTGAGAACATTCGAATGATGATGCTCAGTGCATGCCAAAGATTTCTCAAAGTGGCTAAACAGCTGGTACTTTCTTTGTGAAACATAACAAATGTCAGTGTTGCGTTGATAGGCTTGATCATTGGTCAACAGTAGCCGGCAATTGTTCGAGTTGACGAGGTCCAATTGTGGTGATGGTGAGAAATGTATACGACTTAATGAACCGAAACATTTCTTATCATATTATAATAATTTTATCAAGATATTTTACAGCATTTACTAATCTCTTAATATTTTTCGTTTCGTTCCAACTTTAAAATATTCTTCTATTACTTTGACCAATGCTGCTGCACATCAGATACTTCCGGCAAGCATTCTCCATGAGAGTTGGAACGGTGGCACTTGGAATTTCTAACACGTATTCAGTGAGGAAAAAAGCACGCTGAATGTCGCGATGGCTTTCTTTCTCAAAGTGCTCAGAGGAAAAAGGCTGCTGGCATATATGACAAATTTATTTAATGGACCGAAACGTCTTATCTCATTCTTGCCTTCTTTTCTCATACTGTTCTCTTATGCTGTAATCTATCGCGCCTTCGCCACTTGGGCTTCCACGGTCAACCTGGATGCTACAATCGGCTTACCATCGAGAATGACTGGGTCGCAAAGTGGACTGGCTGTCTCACTTTCGGTCCTCAACACGAGAATTGCGTGGTTTTTTTTGTACAGTGAAGAAACAGAAGCTGAGAAAGAAATTGAAGCTTCCCTTTTATTCCTTTCTTTTTAACCCTTACTTTTTACATAAACACAAATCATCTAAAATTAAAATTACAATCAAAGTAATACCATAGGGGCCAAATGCTGAGCGTGTCTGCTGGGCCAGCTCGGCGCATGCCTCGATATTACGTTGCACCGCTTCTTCGGTCCCTTTGAAATGCTGGAAAACACTGAATAGTTCAATGAATACAATAAATACTCTGTGTCACAGCTTTTCTAAGTCAACCTTTACATGTTAAGAAGTTAAAAAAAAGCCAGGAAAGAAGTAAGAAAAGCGCTGAGAAGGGCAGGAGAGATAGGAAGCGAACAATTGGGCTGTTTCGGTTAAACAGTAATAAGATATTAGCAATAATGATAATGATAACAACAATAATAATAATGATAACGATGACAATGATAAAAACAATAATAATAGTAATAACAATAATAATGATAATGATAATTATAACAATGATAATGACAACAACGATAATAAAAATAACAACAGTAAAAACACTGTGAACGTCTTAGCACAACACTGCAACTGGGCCCAAAAGTAAGCAATGAGGTTGCGGTGCATAAATTTAGCAGGTGCGATGCGGAAGGGGGGAGGGGGGAAAGACCCATGGCCCCGTTCCCCTCTGGATTCACCTATTAATGGTACCACTGCTTTACATTCTTGCTCTACACAGCTCCATTCACTGCTGCTATTATATGAGGGGGGGGGGCA